ATATATATATATAAACTTGAAACAAAAGTTACGTCAGCTCTTTTTTTTAAAAACTGAAGGTCTTTAAGAACCAGCGTTAAATCTGCTGTCAAACACAAGAAGATTCTCTTGTTCTTGGTTGTAGGCTGCACCTGACACAGGTTGGCTTGAGTGTGGTCTGGGTACAATGACATATGAAGCATCTGAAGCGAAACCTGCTCCCATTTGTCAAAAAGTCTGGTCTTCATTAAACATCATGAGTCCTGTAACGAGATAATGACCCAAAACAAACGCTAAAAACAAAATTAGCTCTTTAGAAGTTCTTCTATGAGATCTGATCTATGAAAGGAGCTGAAACATGGAGTAGGACTGACCCTTAAAATGTGAGACAGCTGAAGTTAACCAGTAAACAGAAACCTGCTCCAGTTGCAGAAATCTTACAGAAACTGACAATCACTCATCTGCAGTGACTGTTCTTAAAGGTTGAACAAGAAAATGTGAAGTTAAAGGAAACGTGCTTTGTCCCAAAATCAGTTTAAGTATCATTTGGTTACTTTATTTTTCTTTTTTTATGAATCGATTGTAACTATTATCACATTATTCAACAACCAAAACGGATTTTGTTTTTTAATGTAATGGCTCGGTATTAAAAAAAACAAACATTTAGCCCTCCCATTTATGTTGCTCTTATTTTGAAATGTAACCGGAAGTTCTGTGTTAAGCGAGGCGGAAAGAGAAGTTATGGAGACTCTGCTAATGTTGGACCAGTAACATCATAGACATAATATGCCTGTGGTTAACACAATCTGCCAATAACGCCCTGTTTTTAGACGTACTATGGCTGCGGTCAGAGCCCTGTAAAGAGAGAGTCGCGACACTCTTTGAACTCGCCGATACGCGGTCACGTGGTTCATGCAGCTCTCAATAGTTCCAAACAGCTCATCGCTGTCAGTCAGTTTGAGCGGCTGCTGGCGCAACACAACACATAAATCGACTTTTCTTACTTTACCTGACGTCTTTCAGTAATTATTGAACAGGAACAAACTGATTATTTCACAGACTATGCATTTTATCAAAGCGTTTTTAGAAGCGGCTGATACATTTATCATTACATTTTAGAAGGAAACGAGACTGCAAACATATTTGAAAAAAAAAACAAAAAAACATGTATATGCAATACAATGATCAATATAGCCATGTCAGTGTTTTATAACGTTACACACGATAAACAAAAGCTCAGAGTAACACCTGTTATAAAGCTATTTCTGATGTTCTCTGCATGAGAATGCTCCACGTTGTCCTCCATGCAGCATCAGATCTGCTCCAGTTTACCTTAGATCATCTGGATGAATTCTTCATGTCTATAGAAGATATTAATTCAACCTTTATTTAAACAGGTTCTTCCCATTGAGCCACGAGGACTCATTTACAAGAGAGACCTGAATATAATTGTTCTATTTGTCGTTTTTTTATGGCAACCAAGTACCTGATAACTGAGTTGATTGTAGCCTGACAACTATTGTAAAATTGAAATTCATTGATTAAAATGTTAATTTAAATTAAACTGTTTCTAGTTAAAATCATAACAGATGACAAAATAAGTGTCAATTGTGCAAAAATAAATTTCCAAACAATTTATTATAAAATGTGTAAAATGTAAAGCAAGCTTTAATAAAGTACTTTTACTACTATTTATACTGTTTATTAATGACATCATCTCAAGTCAGCA